GGTAGACGGACCGTCCCGGGTCAATATATAAATACTTCCCCTATACTGCACCCGACTAGAGTTTAAAAACTTGGGCTCTAGATGGGTTTTATTGTGCTGTAGTTTCGTGCGAGTCGGTATGTTCATACACCGTTAAGAGGGTGCAACAAGTGAAGGAAACCTCACTCTCTTAATCATTCGGTTAAGGAAAACAAATAAGCTAGGAACCCTAGCTCTCTCAATCAATGGATTAAATATTGCTACAATAAACTAGAAAGTCTAGCTCTCTTACCCTTTCAGCTAAGGATTGCAACAATAAGCTAGGAGTCCTAGTTCTCTTAACCGATCAACTAAGGGTTGCAAGAACCAATCCCTCGGAACTTAATCCGGACGGCAAAATAACACCCAAGTTAAAGTGCTAAATCAAAGATTGAGGTTTGCCCTAATTCTCCCTAGGTAGGTGGCTCAACTGGCGAAGGAATGCAGCTTATCAAAGCCTCCTACTAAAAGGGGAATTCCCTCTACCTAGGTCAAATTGTCATAGTAATGAGAAATGAAGAACACAACCCAAACATAATGAAAATACCTCAAACTTTGCATTAAACACAAATCCACACACAAAGCATTCAATTAATACAATCTATCACATATTTCAAGCTAGGGTTCACAACACCCAAGTGAATAGGTAGGCTATCCCATAGATAGGCAAAGGAAAACGGGAAAAAGGAGAGAAAGAACCATTAAGAGATGACAATCTTCCTTTCTCTTTGCTTGAATCTCCCTTGAGAGGTAAGAATCTTCACTCCTCTAGCTTAGGGCAAGCCCAATCTCCTTCTTCCTCCTTTGACTGACTCTTTATCTCTCTGGAATAACCCAATCTCTCACTAGAAATCCTCATTTATTCTGAAACTAAAACCATAGAAAAAGCTCCCTCTTTCTCCTTCACCTCACTTCCCCTTTTATACCTAGATAGACGACTGTTCACGGTTGTGAACATTCGTCTTGGACCGTGAAATTGAGCAGATTTGCACCGTTTCACCAAGTCACTTCACGGTTTGGATCTTGAGTTCACGATTGCGTGACTGTGAACTGACTGGACTCCTGTGAGAGTGAAAACCGTGACTTTGGACATTTTCTCACTTTTTCGCGCTTTTCGACCTCCAATCAACCTAAAACTCGTCCTCGAGCTTTCCAAACATGATAGGATCTAAAATGTATCAAAACAAACACAACCTAGCATAAAAATAGGTCGAGAGATGTTGATCAACTAAGCAAAATGAACACTAAATGAGGGGTAAAATGTGTACAATTGGACCCAAATCAATGATATTTCGCATCAGTGCACATTAATCCAAATGACCATTCCTTGCACAATTTATGGCTTGAGGTAGTATCACTTAAGTCATAATACGAATTTACATGAAATGAAAGAAACTATATGTATAATATCCTTGTCAAATTTAGAGTACCAGTGGTGATTCCTCTCTTCTCCTTGGTGGCTTCATCAATAAAATGAAATTGACGGCTATCTATACTAACACGTTCTATATGGTCATAGTATGACCTTTTTATAAGCCATTTCTGCCTTACGCATTTTTGCATCGCAACTCCAAGAGCTAACTTGTTGGGGCTCTCCTTTAGGTAAACAACTTGTATCAACATCAGGCATGACAACAAAAATTGCTTTGCTCTCTTGCCATCTAAATTAAAGAAGAAGCTTAGCTTAGTCTCTTTCACAACTTAACTTTACAATTTTTTAGAGAGAATAATGATGATTCACAATTCTAGAACAACCACCTCAAAGAAATGGTTGAGGGACGCGAAAAGGAGCCAAAAATGGTCCGGGAGGCTCGCCGGAAATAGACCGGAAAGTCGCCGGAAAACCCGCCGGATGGTCGCCGGAAAGTGGTCGGCAACGGGGGTGATGGCGACCGGCGGTGGAGGGCGGAGGCCGGCGGCGGCGGAAGTGGCGGCCGACGGCGGAAGGAAGGTGGCCGGCGGCGGAAGGGGCGCGGCCGGCGGCGACCAAGAGAGGAGAGAGGACAGAGGATTTTAAGAGGAGGAGAGGGAAATTTTGGAAAAATGAGAGGAGATAGAGAGAAATGACCGGGGGTTTACTTAAATAGCGAAAATCCCCGGTCGAGTATTTTGAGTCCACCACCGGAGGTTTTGGAAACGGCGCGTTTCGTGTGCAAGGAAATCCCCGGCCTTGAGCCAAAAATACCCGGTCGGGTATTTTTGGGTCAAGGTCAGGGGTTTCTGAAACGCCGCGTTCCAAGGCGAGAAAATCCCCAGCCTTGAGCCAAAAATACCTGGTCGCGTATTTTTGGGTCATGGTCGGGGATTTGTCCTTTGGGCGCCCCGGAAGGCAGAAGGGGTCCCGGTCATTGGCCTAAAATACTCGTTCGGGTATTTTGGCCCACGACCGAGTATTTTACCCTTCCGGCCAAAAAGCTCATCCTCCCAATTTTTTGACCTTCCCTGCACGAGAACACCAAACCGAGGCATAACAGACAACTGAACTTCAACACAGAAATGCAACTGACTCAACACGACACAAAAACATAGAAAAAGGGAAAAAGAAATGCAAACCGTGGCGGGGTTGCCTCCCCACAAGCGCTTCTTTACCGTCTTTTAGCTGGACGCCCATGGCGGAACCAAGGGTCCGCGAGTTCCACTACCAACTCCGCACGTTCGACCTCGTCCCCAACTAGAGCTTGAGAAGATGGTCATTCACTTTAAACGGTTCAGTTTGCGGGTTGTCAATTTCAATCGTACCATACGGGAACACCTGTGTGACCGTGAACGGTCCAGACCACCGGGAACGGAGTTTTCCGGGAAAGAGCTTCAGGCGAGAGTTATAAAGGAGAACTCGATCACAAACCTGGAACTCTTTCAGACCCCGCAATCGTGCATCGTGCAGGCGCTTTGTGCGCTCCTTGTACAGCTTGGTGTTCTCATAGGCGTGGTAACGCCATTCCTCCAGCTCCAGCATTTTCATTTTGCGCTCAACACCTGCAACACTAACATCCAAGTTGAGCAGCTTAAGGGCCAAAAGGCCTTGTGCTCTAGCTCCATGGGCAAATGACATGCCTTTCCATAGACAAGCTGGTACGGTGAAGTACCAATGGGTGTCTTGTAGGCAGTGTGGTATGCCCAGAGAGCATCATCGAGCTTGGTGGACAAATCCTTGCGGGACTGATCCACCATCTTTTCCAGGATACGCTTGAGCTCCCGGTTCGTCATCTCGGCCTGGCCACTTGTTTGAGGGTGATAGGCCACGGACACCTTATGAGTCACACCATAGCGAGAAAGTAACTTATCAAACTGGCCCAGGAAATGGGTGCCTCGATCACTTATGATGGCTCTAGGTGTCCCGAACCGGGAGAGCAGCTGCTTCAGAAAACCACAAACACGTCTAGCATCATTAGTGGGCAAAGCTTGCGCCTCAGCCCACCTAGAGACGTAGTCAAGAGCAACCAAGATATAGGTAATGCAAAAGGATGGAGGGAAGGGGCCCATGAAGTCGATACCGCAGACTTAAAAAATCTCACAAGTTATAAACACATTCTGGGGCATCTCATCACGGGCAGAGATGTTACCTGACCTCTGGCATCAGTCGCACCTGCGTGCGTCTGCGTCGTTGAAGAACGTGGGCCAGTAAAAGCCCGATTGTAGCACCCTCGCTGTGTGGTTTCCTCCGTGGTGACCTCTAGTAGGTCCTTCATGACAATGAGATAGAATGCCCTCCATCTCACCCTCCATATCACAGCGACAGATGATCCCGTTGGCTTCGATCCTGAAGAGATGAGGGTCATCCCAGAAGTAATGCTTCAGGTCGGAGAAGAATTTCCTCTTGGTGTGAGTTGTCATTCCCTTGGGTAGCTGCTGGCCCACCAGATAGTTCGCAAAATCGGAGTACCAAGGGGTGACACTCTCCACCAGGTACATCATCATCAGTCTCTCATCTGGGAAGGAGTTGTTGATCTCCTCCTCGAGGTTGTCCGCAGGAGGTGCGTTCAACCGGGAAAGGTGATCGGCTGCAACATTCTCCGCTCCCTTCTTGCCCCGAATCTTGATGTCGAACTCCTGCAATAGTAAGATCCATCGTATGAGCCTGGGCTTGGCATCGGCCTTGCTCACCAGGTATCGAATCGCGGAGTGATCTGTATACACGGTCACATGGGACAAGACCAGATAAGGACGAAATTTGTCGAAAGCAAACACCACCAAGAGAAGCTCCTTCTCCGTGGTGGTGTAGTTATCCTGGGCATCATTTAGGGTCTTCGAGGCATAGTAGATAGGTCGAAAGTGTTGATCTCGCCTCTACCCCAAGACAGCTCTGACAACAAAGTCACTGCCATCGCACATCAGCTCAAATGGTAGGGACCAGTCAGTAACAACCATGATAGGAGCTTGGGTGAGCTTCTCCTTCAAGGTCGTGAATGTCGTTGTGCATGCATCAGTGAACTGGAAGGGGGCATCCTTCTCAAGGAGCTTAGTCAGGGGCAGGGTGATCTTCGAGAAATCCTTGATGAAACACCTGTAGAACCCTGCATGGCCTAAAAAACTCCGGATCCCCTTGACGATGTAGGAGGAGGCAACTTGCTGATAGTATCAATCTTTGCTCTATCCACCTCAATTCCCATCTTGAAGATCTTATGCCCCAGAACTATGCCTTCGCGAACCATGAAGTGACACTTCTCCCAACTCAGTGCCAGGTTCGTTTTTTCACACCGTTTAAGGACAAGTTCCAGGTTATGGATACAGTGAGAGAAGGAGTCTCCATAAACCGTGAAATCATCTATAAAAACCTCCATAAACTCGCCGACCAGGCGGTCAAAGATGGCGAGCATTCATCGCTGAAAAGTGGCAGGGGCGTTGCATAGCCCGAATGAAATCCTCTGGTAGGCAAATGTGCCGAAGGGGCAGGTGAAAGTGGTCTTCGCCTGGTCCTCCAGTGCAATGGGGATCTGGAAGTACCTGGATATCCCATCCAGGAAACAGTAGAACTCGTGCCCCGCCAGTCTCTCCAGCATCTGCTCAATGAACGGCAGCGGGAAGTGGTCCTTCTGAGTGGCGTCGTTGAGAAGCCTATAATCAATGCAGACACGGTACCTGATAGACCATTAATTACACATGTTTTCACCCCTGTTCTTACACCGTTTGAGATGTGGTTTCTTGTGTTTTAGACCGATTTCACGCTAGGTTGTGCTTGTTCGTGATATTTCAGGTCCTGGCAAGTGAATGAAGGTTTAGGAGCGAGTTCGGGGTCGATTGGGTGAATATCGGGCGCGAGGCAAGTCACAAAGGAAGTCGCACGGGCACATCCACAACCTGCACGGCCGTGCAAGTGACCAGTTTGGCCGTGTGGGATTGTGCGAGAGCAAACACGGGCAGAGCAGAAAATCCGCATGGCCGTGCAAGGTGAGCTGCACGGCCGTGCGACCCTGGCCGTGTAAGAAGCCTGGAATTCAACTAATCGATACACTGCGTTTTGACTCGCACGGGCAACTGGGTGAGCTGCACGGCCGTGCGGCCTGCCCGTGTGAGTCGGGAATTGCTGTTTAAAACCCGATTTTCAGCCAAATGAAGGAGGAGAGCTGGGTTTTTGGTTCCCAAACACCCAAGGGACGAACCCTAGAGAGAGAGAGCGACTTGGGAACATTCTTGGAGCTATTTTGGAAGATTTCTTCGCCATTGGAGCTCGGGAATCAATCTTGAAGATGGAGATTGAAGATCTAGATCAGATTTCTGCAGTCTCTCTCTTCTCTATGGAGTAACTTCCCTTCACTTAGATTTTGAGGAACCCTAGTTCCATGAGTTAGGATCTTTCTTGTATGAAGTTTTGGATGCTATATTGTTTGATTATAATCGAATGATGCATGTTTATTGAGTCAATTGAAGTCTGATCAACTTTTCCTGATTTCTGCTGCAACCTGAGATAGATAGAATATGATTAGTTTGTTAGAGCCTCATCATTCGGTAGTAGGAGATTGGCTATACGAGAGTTAGTCAGTTTACTGCTTTGTACTGGAATCAAATTCCAGTAGTGGAGTTCTGTGCTTATTGCTTCAGCTTTCTATCCCGGTGATGACTAGTCGTCTGCCGGATAGTTCGACTGAGAGGGCTTGGTCAGCTTAAGAGATTCCAAGCTACTGTCGGATCTTCCGCAGTTTAATCAACAGTAAAACAACCAAAAGGAATTACAACTGGGATCTAATTGAGGAGCTAGGGGGAATCATACCTAAGTGAGTTCCCAAACTGTAATTAGTAGTTTTACTTAGTTTAGTTAGTAGGGTAGTTTAGTTAATCAATCCTTAATCTAGTTTGCTAGATAATGAACTGAAGCTGAGTAATAGTAACTCTAGAGACCCGTGGATTCGTTATTTATTACTTATGCTACTATACTGCAGTCCCTTTCATTGGTTACACTTGGCCATTGTTAGGTGTTGTGTTTTAGAGCATCAAGTTTTTTGCGCCGTTGCCGGGGACTTTCTAGATTATTAGGAAAGGCAGAAGTTTGTTACTTTAGCGTTTTTCTTTTCTTTTCCACCCTTGCTTTTCACTTGGGTGTTTTTTGTTTTTGTTGGTGCAGATCTGAATCATGGATCCGCATGGCTTCTCCAACCAGTGGGGGTATCCACCAGCATCCGAGTGGTATTACCCCGAGACTCCCTGGAGCAATCAAGGAGGAGAAGACTATGGATTCGGGTTCCAGTACCAACCCCCTTTCTACGGAGAACAACCAAACCCTTGGGCATATCAAGAACAACCTCATTACCAAGAAGACTTTGTCCCACAACCAGAAGGTCCATCGGAGCTGGAGTTACCCATGGCAGCCTTCACGGGCCACTCTGCAGAGCCATGCTACACTTCACTGGAAGATCCGAACAAACAATTAAGGCTTCTCGTGGAGCAGTTTGCTCGAGACACTGAGAGATCATGCTCCAAGATGGATCTTCAAATCAAAGCCCTTGCTGCTTCTGATCCCTCATTTCTCCAGGATATGGAGGAGAGTGTTCAGCGCTCAACGAAGCAAACAGAGTGGGTGGAGCAAGTTTGCTCACATCTTGCTCAAGATCACCTTTCTGCTACCACGCTAGAAGAGGTGGAGGATGACAAAGGCTACAGGAGCGTTGAGGAGCATACAGAAGTTATCACAGAGAACTCCCATGATAATCAAGATCAGGAACGTCCTCTGGTTGCAGATCACACCTTTCCTCATTTATGCTCTAAAATGCTGGGGCCGTGCGAGGAGATGCAAGCTGATGCCATTGAAGAAATTGCTTGGCGACTTGCTCTCCAATCTGTTCTAGAAGAAGAAGAGCGAGCAAGGATGAGGAAGGAAGTTGTGGAGGATGAGGAAGAAAGAAAAGAAGAGGTGGTTCTTGATCTTTTCCCAGGGGTGATACCACATGAAGAAGAAAGGGGGTTTCAGGAAGTAATTGGCGTCCGGGCTGAGGACGGAGTTAAGGTGGAAGAGGCCTGCACCGGCCATGAGTTGCAAGTAATATCCCCACCAAACTTTGAGGAACTGCTTAGCAAGGACCCATTTGCAGTGTCTCTTTGCCAGACCAAGGCCACATAGACATCGGTCCCTCTTGGTGGACGCGATGGTGGCCAATCGATGCTGTCATATCTGGGTTGGGGCAATGAGACGAGAGAAGAGAAGAAGAGGTCTCGAGGGTGGAGACTTCATCTGCATCAAGTACACGAGCCTTCATCACCTGCCACACCACATGCTCGTGACTTGAGACTCCACCTCATCGAAGAGAACCTCAACTTCAAGGAGGTTCTAGCATGGACCGAAACTTAGGAGCCATCGTCCGGCTCACAACGTGAAAGAAGCGTTTGTTGGGAGGCAACCCAACTAGTCGGTTTGCATTTCTCTCTATTTCTCCTCGGTTGAGTCAGTTTTGCTATTTGATTTTAGAGTCAATAACTCAACCTTTGTGAGATTTTGTGTGGTGTTTGTGTTCTGATTACTCTCTCTTTCTGGAATGCACCGCCTGACCCGTTCATCATCATTCACCCTTGATCTGGTAACTTCGTTCTACCCTCCTTATCTTTCCTCCATTGAGGACAATGTCGTGCTTAAGTGTGGGGGGATGTTCGATTATGTATGCGGGTGAATGTTTGGCTGTTTGTGTGCTTGGAGCCTAGTCCATTGTCCAAATTTTTAAATTTGAGGGCTCCCAGTACGTGTTCCTTGCAATTGCCTGCTCAGTATGCTTTGAATTGACAGTCTTTATAGTAATATGCAACCTAGGGAGGTAGTGTAGCACTATGGAGGATGTTGATGCATTTAAGAAATCTCATTTCTTCTTCATACTGTGTTGGTTGATTGAGTGAATTAGTGATCTTAGGACCCTTGAATTATGTGGTGTTGTGGACTCTCTACCTGTCATGGACTCTTGTATCATGTTTTGAAAGTAATAGGTGCTCGAAAATGTGCTTCAAAATAACGTCTCCCGTACGAATAGGGCGAAAGTGTGTAAGGGGAGACGGGAATTCGTTCCCAATTTCCACCTACTACCTCCAGCCCCTTACATGTCTTTCCCCCGCACGAGGCTCGAGACATCCGCTCCTGGCATGGCCGATAAGAGCAGGTTGGGACCCTTGAAAAAAAAAGAGTAAAGAAAAAAAAAATAACAGAAAACAAGCAAAACAGAAAGAAAAGGGGTTCCAACCATCTTCAAAGAAAATAGAGCACCTTGAAAAATGTGAGTCCATGATCCTTTGTTTTTGAGAATCTCTTCATCCATAATTCATTTGTCCTCTGTTCACTATTTGCCATGATGCCGACTCGATACTAGTGCTCTCGCCGAAGAAGCTATGAGATGACTTGTGCGTCGGTTGACCTCGTAAGTTGCTAAATGATCTAGGAAGTCCTCTACCTACGATCTGGGGTGTTTGTTGCTATAGAGGTCTGGAGAGTTGCATTGGATTGAGTTAGGTTTGCTTGGGGACAAGCAAACGGTTAAGTGTGGGGGAGTTTGATAGACCATTAATTACACATGTTTTCACCCATGTTCTTACACCGTTTGAGATGTGGTTTCTCGTGTTTTAGACTGATTTCACGCTAGGTTGTGCTTGTTCGTGATATTTCAGGTCCTGGCAAGTGAATGAAGGTTTAGGAGCAAGTTCGGGGTCGATTGGGTGAATATCGGGTGCGAGGCAAGTCACAAAGGAAGTCGCACGGGCACATCCACAACCTGCACGGCCGTGCAAGTGACCAGTTTGGCCGTGTGGGATTGTGCGAGAGCAAACACGGGCAGAGCAGAAAATCCGCATGGCCGTGCAAGGTGAGCTGCACGGCCGTGCGACCCTGGCCGTGTAAGAAGCCTGGAATTCAACTAATCGATACGCTGCGTTTGACTCGCACAGGCAACTGGGTGAGCTGCACGGCCGTCGGCCTGCCCGTGTGAGTCGGGAATTGCTGTTTAAAACCCGATTTTCAGCCAAAGGAAGGAGGAGAGCTGGGTTTTTGGTTCACAAACACCCAAGTGACGAACCCTAGAGAGAGAGCGACTTGGGAACATTCTTGGAGCTATTTTGGAGGATTTCTTTGCCATTGGAGCTCGGGAATCAATCTTGAAGATGGAGATTGAAGATCTAGATCAGATTTCTGCAGTCTCTCTCTTCTCTATGGAGTAACTTCCCTTCACTTAGGTTTTGAGGAACCCTAGTTCCATGAGTTAGGATCTTTCTTGTATGAAGTTTTGGATGCTATATTGTTTGATTATAATCGAATGATGCATGTTTATTGATTCAATTGAAGTCTGATCAACTTTTCCTGATTTCTGCTGCAACCTGAGATAGATAGAATCTGATTAGGTTGTTAGAGCCTCATCATTCGGTAGTAGGAAATTGGCTATACGAGAGTTAGTCAGTTTACTTCTTTGTACTAGAATCAAATTCCAGTAGTGGAGTTCTGTGCTTATTGCTTCAGCTTTCTATCCCGGTGATGACTAGTCGTCTGTCGGATAGTTCGACTGAGAGGGCTTGGTCAACTTAAGAGATTCCAAGCTACTGTCGGATCTTCCGCAGTTTAATCAACAGTAAAACAACCAAAAGGAATTACAACTGGGATCTAATTGAGGAGCTAGGGGGAATCATACCTAAGTGAGTTCCCAAACTGTAATTAGTAGTTTTACTTAGTTTAGTTAGTAGGGTAGTTTAGTTAATCAATCCTTAATCTAGTTTGCTAGATAATGAACTGAAGCTGAGTAATAGTAACTCTAGAGACCCGTGGATTCGATATTTATTACTTGTGCCACTATACTGCAGTCCCTTTCATTGGTTACACTTGGCCATTGTTAGGTGTTGTGTTTTAGAGCATCAGTACCCAGTCACCGTGCGCATTGGGATGCGCGCATTCTTCTCGTTAGGCACCACGGTCATCCCACCCTTTTGGGTACCACCTGGGTGGGGCTAACCCACTCGCTGTCGGAAATGGCGAAGATGATCCCTGCGTCCATCAGCTCCACAATCTTCGCCCGAACCACAGCCTCCAGGTTCAGTGTCAGTCTTCTCTGCGGCTGTCTCACTGGCCGCATCTCATCCTCCAACAGTATCTGGTGGGAGCAAAAGGAGGGGCTGATCCCCCGAATATATGTGATCGTCCATGCTAGAGCGCGCTCGTACTGCTTCAACAAGGACACTAGTATGTCCTGCTCGGGTGTGAGGGTCGAGCTGATGATGACTGGAAGCTTATTCCCCTCCCAGAGAAATGCATACTCCAAATGAGGGGGGAGGGGCTTTAGCTCCAGCTCTGGTGGTTCCTCCAAGGAGGTAGTGATGTGGGGTGAGGATGAGATCGGTTTGAACAGCCGGTCGCCCTCCAGAAATGTGCCACTCTCTAGTGCAGCCAACAGCTCCGCCAGCTGTGGCTCCTACTATGCCTGCTCACCTAGCAAAATACAACGCTCAAGAGCATCGTCAGTACCCGCACTCGTTATAGCGAGTGCGGTCTCAAAGTCAGCAAGCACATCACAGTAATCCAAGTCATCATGCAAATGAGAGTGTTTCCCATTCTCAGGCACAGAAAAAGTAGCATGTTCATCACCAGCATGCAGGATCAATTTACCACTATGCACATCAATAAGCGCCTTGGCGGTGGCGAGAAACGGTCTACCCAAAATCAACGGTACATCCATGTCCTAATTTATATCCAGAATAACAAAGTCAGTAGGATATGTGAATGCACCAACATTAACAAGCAGATCCTCTATGATACCCCTAGGATGCACAATGGAACGGTCAGCTAACTGAATGCTCATCCTAGTAGCTCTAGGTTCACTTAGGTCTAGCTTTTCAAACAATTTGTAGGGCATCGCATTTATACTAGCGCCTAGGTCCGCCAAGGACTTCCCTACATGCATGCTGCCAATAACAAGAGGGATAGTGAAACTTCTTGGGTCTTTCCGCTTCTTGGGCAGCTTGTTTTGCAGGATAGCAGAACACTCCTCGCTCAACATCACTGTCGAAAGATCCCCAAGTTTCTTCTTGTTGGTGAGGAGGTCTTTCATGAACTTGCCGTACTTGGGCATCTTCGACAGTCCCTCCACAAAATGGCATGCTGATGTTTACCTGCTTCAACTTTGCCATGAACTTGGCAAACTCAGTCTCCAGCTTGTCTTTATGTAGGCGAGTGGGGAAAGGAAGCTGGGGTACATACTCCTTAACCACTATTGTGGCTTAGGAGCAGGTGCTTCTTTGTCCATCCCCACTTCTGCTTTGTCAGCTGGAAGTGTTGAAGCAGGTAGTGGCTCGCCCTGCCTGGGCTGGGCAGGAGCAGAAGATGTGGTCTTGACACTCCTTGTAGTGATGGTATCTAGGTGTTGGTGTTGGTGAGGCTCACGAGGGTTCGGGATGGTGGTGGCAGGTAGAGTCCCCGGTGCCCTAGTAGTATTTTGGCGAGCTATGCCACCAATCTGGTTCTGTAGATCTTGCAAAATGGCACCTTGGTTCCTCTGGCCTGCCTCTAGTGAGGCTATGTTCTGGTCCATCCTCGTTAAATTTGCGTGGCTGGTGGTCATGAATGCCTGCAAAATATTTTTCAGCTCCGTCATCTGATTATCTGGAGCTGCAGCTGCTGGAGGTTGGGCATACTAACGCTGGGGCTTCTGTAATGGTTTCCCCTACCTAGGCTAGTAAGGCTATTGTTGTGGAACTGGCCCCTGTCTAGCCTGGAAAGGCTGCCTTTGTTAAAAACCACCAACTGGTGCTGGGAAACTAGGTGATTTAGCGGTGTTGTTATTCCAAGCGAAGTTGGGATGCTGGCGCCACCCCTCATTGTATGTATTGTTGTATGGGTCAAGGCGCCGAGCATTGGCGATGAAGTCCAACTGCTCTTAGGGAGTAGAAGACTCCTGCATAGCCTGGCGGTCTTCCACCAGATGGTTCGAGCTCTCACACCACTGACATTGAGCTACTGGAGGTGCAGCCAAACCTCTGCCCGGAATAAGACTGTTGTGCTGCTTCAATGTCTGTACTAGCTTGGCCACCTCCCGCTCTAGTCCAGACGTGGCCTCCATGGCATGCACACCTCGATCCCGGGAATTCCTGCCTCTAGTGCTCTGCCCCCAGTAATGATCTTTGGCAGCCAAGGTACTGATCATCTGGTTCAATTCGGGTGGAGTCTTAGTGAGAATATCCCCTCCTGGGCATAAAGACTCAATCACCCTCTGGCTTTCCGGAGAGAGAGCACTGTAGAAGTTCCCCGCGGTGAATGTATCGCTGAACCCATGATGGGGGCACTGCCAGAAAAACCCCGAGTACCACTCCCATGCATCACGAAGTGACTCGTCTGGCTCTTGGCAAAGTGAGTGATCTCCCACTGGATTTCTGTGGTCTTCGATGTTGGATAGTAACTGTGCATGAACTTGTCGGCCAGATCGTCCCAAGAAGTGATGGACAATGGGGGCTGGGTCTCTAGCCACCTCTTCGCATGCCCCGCCAGAGAATGGGGGAAGAGGTGAAGGCGGATCGCATCATCAGGGACACCGTTCACCTTGAACCCGTTCGTCAGCTGCATGAAACGGGAAAGATGCACCCTTGCCTCCTCATCCTTCAAGCCATGAAACTGGATCGAGGATGTAATGAGTTGAACCACCTCCTAAAGCATAGTATAGTGGGTTTGGCTTTTAATGTCAACCCGGGTCGTAGATGTGATGGCTACTCCGTGAGTTCTTATTATTTAGAAGTGAAACTTTAGTGAAGGTGCAAACAAGCAAACAAGCAAAGCAAGTAAAGAGGTTGTTTTCAAGTCGAGAGAGCTCACCCGGATATGGTTCCCCCTAGACTGCAGTTAAGCCGGATTGTAATTCACCAACTTCAAGTTCAATGATAGTTATACTGGGGGAGGTTCTTAAACTGTCTGAAGTCTCGACTAAAGGCTCCAGACCCTCTCAATCTGAGTCTCCAGCGGGCGACTAACCTCCACCGGAGTAAACAGATTGAGGCCCTAACGAACCAAACCTCCACTACCGAAGTAAATTCGGTACAGAATAGTGAATTGACTCCTCGACTAAAGTCGCAAATTCACAACCTTCAATCAAGGGTGCTCTATCAACCTAGGCACATATTCTCTTTCTAGGTTAAAGCAGAAACAACAGGAATTTGATCAGGATTCATGCCATTCAACAAATCAAACCTCAATTGAACATAATCATACACTGAATCTGTACTTGGGTTCATACAATCAGACCTAACATACAAATCTAGGGTTCTTCATACCTAGGTGAATAAGAAAGGTACTCCATAGAGAGAGATGGGAAATCTAGCTCAGATGCGGAAACCATACTATGAAGGATGAGAATCTGCTTCTGGCACTCAATCAGCTCTTCTCCAAGCTCAAGTCGGGCTCCAATGGTGACGGAGATCGATCAAGGACACTTGCAGAATCAGGTTCGTCACTTTCTCTCTCTAGGTATCGCTTTTTCTCTCTAAAACTCGGAACCTCCTCTCTTTTGCCCTTCTTTTCCCTTAAGAGGCTGTCTGTCGCGATCCCCGACCTGAATACCTTGTCGGGTATTTTGGGTGGCGACCGGGTATCTTCAAAACGCACCATCGGGTAACAAGGGAAAATCCCCGGTCAAGGCCAAGAATCCCCGACCGGGGATTTAAGCCTCACGACCGGGCCCCCTTCTGCTTCTCAAACGTCCAAACGCATTTTCCCCAGTCTGCTCCAAATAATACCCGGTCGGGTATTTCTGCTCATGGCCGGGTATTTTGCTCCTCCAGCACACTTCACCCCAAACGTGCTCCTTTCGACCCGACTCGATGCCAACGCTACGTCCTGAAATATGACATAAACGCACAACCTAGCGTGAAATCGGCTTAAAATACGAGATTCAACATCTCAAACGGCTCAAGAATAGGGTTAAAAACATGTGTAATCAATTGTCTATCAGCTTCTGAACAGGCACATGACCTAACTGGTCTAAGGTTGAAAAGTATAAGAAAAGGGTCAGAGCCCATCTCGTCATAGTCTTGGGCTTTAGAAATGGGTCAAGCCCGACCCACAAGTCTAGACATCCGATCCATAACTAATCATATTTTATTTATCTTATTTTTAAGATTATTTGCGTGCTTTACGTGTTCTACAATTGGTATCATAGGAGTCTCTCGTGAGGAACTAGATCCCATGATGGAAGCCACAAGTTCATCAGTTAGTAATAATGAGTCACTTGTGTCCAATCACACATGCTAAAGGAGAGTATGCAACAAGACCACAAAAAATTGATGTCAGCAACTATGCCTTCTGGAAAGGTTGCATGGAAAACATCTACAAGCCTATGACATAGAGATTTGGATCAGTATAAAAAAAAAGATCGGGTCAAGTAGAGAACAAGATTGGCAGTTGGTTAGAGAAAGATCTATTAAGTTTACAAATCAACGCCAAAGCCAAGCATATCCTAAAATTTGCTCTTCAAAGGGAAAGGTATTGCAAAGTAGCTATATGCAAAGCTGCGTATGAAATCAGGGATATCTTGGAGACTACATATAAAGGTACGTCTTAAGTTAAAGATACAACTATTATAATACTAGTTAGGCACTATGAATTATTTAAAATGTGCAAAACTGAAAACATTATTAAGATGTATGAAAGGTTCACAAATATAGTAATAGGCTAAATGACTTGGAAAATTTTATACTAATGCATAATTAATTACCAAGATTTTAAACTCTCTACCGAGGTCATAGAGACTAAAGGTAATGACCATGGAGGCAAAAGATTTTGCAAAGTTTGATTTAAGTGAGTTGATAGGATCACTAACTAGCTCTCAAATCTCATTTGATGTAAGATGAAGAAGAAATTGAAGAGCGAATAGCATTTTTCTCAAAGAAACTAGGTTATTTGCAATTCAAAATAAATTATAATACTAATTCCGAAAGGTTCGGTACTTGATAGAAAGTTTGATATGAAGTTAGATAATGCTTATAGAAGCACGAGTAAACATAAAGCAGACAAAAATGCCATAAACACAAAAAGGTACTATTATTTGTTTTAGGTTTGGAAAACAATGCCATCTTGATGATTGCCCTAACAGAAGGTATGATAATGAACAAGCTATGGTGGTCACATGGAGTTGCAGTAAAGAAGGATAAGATGAGTCATGATCTGAAGCTAGGCGAGAACACGGTCACTAAGACCATGAACTGGAGCTGTTGCCCGTGAACCCATGCAAACGAAGCAGTGCGTTTCGATGCCCACCTTGAGTTCACAGACGCGTTTCGATGTTCACGACCGTGAACTGCTTAACGCGTCCTTGAACTAAGACCGTGAACTTCTCAACGCGTCCTTGAACTAAGACCGTGAGCTGATCAACGTGTCCTTGAACTCAGCCCTAAGACCTTGAACTGAGCCTGATTTGTGTATAAAAGGAGAGGGGAGTTCAAGGAGAAAAGGCAGCTTCATTTTAGGTTAGGTTTTCATTTTTTTCAGAATAAAGAGGATTCTAGTGAGATTGGAGATCCCATTGAGTGAGAAAGCCTTCTTCAGATTTTAGAGAGAGAAAGACGAACCAAAGGAGAAGGAGGCTAGGGTTTTGCTCCAAGAGTGGATTTGGGAAGATTCTCCCCAAGAGAAGTTCAGTAAAAGTGCCAAGAAGATTAGAAGCCTCCTTCATGATGGTTTCTACCTCTTCCCCTTGTATTTCTCCCATTCCTAGCATGGATTAGATTCCTTTTTCACTTGGGTGTTGTGAAACCCTAACTAGCTACCATGTAGTTTTCTGTTAGGTGAATTGAATGATTGTTTTTAGATGTTGTTTAATTCAATGATTGAGGTATTATTCATGTTGATTGTGCTTGTTTGTGCTTAGAAATCTAAGGATTGTGCATAGGTGTGCTTAGCAATCTAAGGATTGTGCATGTTTGTGCTTAGCAATCTAAGGGTTGTGCATGTTTGTGTTTAGCAATCTAATTAGCCACTTAACCTAGATTAGAGAGGAAAACCCCCCTTCCAAGGGATACTCAATTGAGTTGGTATTCCTGGGGATGTTTAAGTCTCCTAACTATGCTAATTTAGGGCAAACCTCAATGTTGGATTAAGCAATTTGGTTAAGCGCAATTCAGCGGTCCAACTCATGGGTTGACTGAGGGAGTAAGTCAACCATTGATTGCCTAAACCGAGAGGGCCGAGTGACAACATAATTTGTATTCCTCGGTTTAGCAATCATGAGTGTGCTCTACGACCATATTTCCATCCCCTAGCGGTTCGCGATCACCTTGCCCATTGCAATCATTTCGGTTCACATACCATGGTAGTAGTTAGGGGGAAGCAACATCCGAGTGATCCTTCTCACAAAATAGCTTTCAAAACCATTCACTTTTGTCTTGCTTTATTTTAATTAGCAAACTTTTCAACCAAAACCTTGTTGCTAGATAATGATTCGAATGATTGAAGTAGGGTAGACGGACCGGCCCGGGTCGATATTTAAACATACTTATCCTATACTTAACCCGACTAAGGTTTATACTTGGACCTTAGGCGGGAATTTATTGTGGTATTCGGGACGAGTCAAGTTTTTGGCGCTATTGCCGGGGAACCGCGGTCCGTTATCTTGAAATGGTCGTTTAGTGTTACTCTAGCATTTTTTTACCTTTTCTTGTGTTTTATTTTTGTGTTTCATCTTTTTGTGATGCAGAGTTGAGCCATGGATCCCGATAGCTTCTCCTACCCGTGGGTGGTGAGGAAAAGGAAGATGAATATGAAAGCCTCGAGGATGAGTTAGAACGGTCGGAAGTTGTCACGGATGGCCACCGTGATGCTCAAGACTTGGAATGTCCTCTTGAGGTAGCCACCACTCTTCTACATTTCATCCCAAGCGTTAAAGAGGAAGTCTTCAATAAGGAGATGAGTGTCGAGTCAATCGAAGACATAGCTTGGAGACTCGCTATTCAACGCTTGCTTGTGGAAGAGCGAGGATAGATGAGGAAAGAAAAGGTTGTGGAGGAGGAGGTAGAAACAAAAGAAGATGAATTTCTTGAGGATTCCCAAGAGGAGGAATTTCAAGAAGGGAAGGAGTTGGATGAAGTGATTGGCTTTCGTGCTAAGAAGGAAGACTCGGTGGAAGAGGATTGCATTGGCCATGTGATTATCGAGAAATCTATACTAAACTTTGAAGAGTTACTTAGCAAGGATCCTTTTGCGATCACTCTTTGCCCGAACGAAGCCAAACCATCGGCGATCCCTCTTGGTTGATGCAATGGAAGTCAATCGGTGTTCCACTACATGGTTTGGGGCAAAGAGAAGGAGAGGTCGCAAGGGTGGGGGCTTTATCTCACTCAAGATCGTGAGTCATCATCAAATGTTAATCCATTTGCTCATGACTTGAGGCTCCGCCTAAATGATGAGAACCTTAACTTTAAGGAGGTGCTAGCATGGACCGAAGCTTAAGGAACAATCGTCTAGCTTATGACGTAAAAGTAGCACTTGTTGGGAGGCAACCCAACGTAGGTTTGTGTTTATTTTTATGCTAAGTAATATTATGTTGAAATAACCTTGCCTTGTGCGAGAATGTGTTTGTGTTTTTGTGTTTGTTCCCATGTGAAGCTCTCTTCTTTTCATCTCCGACCCAATTATGTTCCAACTTTCACTCACCAAGCCCAAGCGGTACCCCTTTCTTATGCTATTGAGGGCAATGTCGAGCTTAAGTGTGTGTTTGTGTGTGTATGGGGGGGTAGTTTACTATTATGCTTGTGTGAGTGTGATTGATGTTTGGTAGGTAGAGAGAAAACCCCCTTCCTTTCTTTGAAAGAGCCTTGAATGCTGGGTTTTCTTGGGCAATTCATTGTCTCCTAGTTAGGTTAATGCAGGGCAAACCTCCTATTTTGTATTAGCACCTAGGGCTTGGTTGTGGGTGGCCGTCCGAACTCCGATTCGAGGGTGAAGTCTAACCAATCCTTAGTCAATAGGTTGAGAGAGTAGCATTAGTGGCTTTGATCGTATCCCCTTACCTCGACCTAGAGACTAAGAGGGTAGCCTTTGGCTACTTGTTAGTCTTCCCTGCGGTTCACAACCCCCTCACCACACACGGCCATTAGATCCATCAAGTTGTAATTGTTAGCTAGGGGGAGCAACACCCGGGTGAACTCTTCTCTCATTGGGACAACCTCGATTTACTTTACTTTCTAGTTTTGATTTGTAGGTTTCTTAGTTTTAAACTCAAAAAACATTTGCTAGATAACAAACTAAGCAATTGAAGTAGGGGTACATGGACCGGCCCGGGTTTGACAATTAAAACATACTTGCCTTATGTTGCACCAAGCTAGATCTTAAAAACTTGGGCTCTAGTAGAGATTAATTTCGCTGTGTAACCGTGGTGAGTCACCAGGATGAGGGGGACATCGACGTTGCCATCAATGTCTAGAATGACAAAATCGACCAGGTAAATGAGAGGCCCTACCTTAATAAGTAAGTCCGCAACAACACCCATAGGCCGCACGATGGACCTATCCGCCAACTGAATATTCATCCTGGTAGTTCAAGGTTCACCTAGGTCTAGCTTTTGAAACAACCTATAAGGCATCACATTTATACTTGCTCCTAAGTCCGCTAAGGATTTTCCTATGCACATGTTGCCAATAAAACATGGGATAGTGAAACTCTCTGGATCTTTGCGCTTTGTAGGGCAGGTGGTTCTGTAGGATGGCTGAGCACTTTTCATTCAAGGTCACTATATCCATCCCTTCCAGCTTCTTCTTGTTGGTGAGGAGCAAGTACTTTGTTGGTGAAGGCCTCCACGAAAGAGATGTTGAGGTGCAACTGGCTCATCAACTCCATGAAGTGGGCAAACTCCGCCATCATCCGGTCATTTCGGAGTCAAGAAGGATAGGGAATAGCTGGAGTTGCTTTTTCCCTCCTCTACTCCGGTGGAGGAACTGAATCGACCTTCTCCCCTCCGTTTGCACTCGTGCCCCCTTGTTGCTCGGGGAAACTACCGGCTCCATCTTGATCTTCTGTCTCAGACGGCTTATTCTTCGGAGGTAGCTCCTTCGCTTCTCTCCCACTTCGAAGAGTAACCGTCATTACTCCCGCTTCATCGAATTGCTTCTGGGAAAGAGCTGCCTGCGAGATAATCCTCATACTTGTGGTGAAGGTTGTCAAGAGTGATTGGTGACTTTGCAACCCTACCTCTATGGTTGAGAATTTCTCTATCTCCTCCCCTATGAACCTCTCAACTTTTTCAAACTTCTTAGAGCTGGAGTCGACAAAGGTGGTCACTAACTCCTCCAGACAAGACATCCGGTCAGTGTGCACAGGGGAGATAGAGTTCAACTGCTCGTAATAGGTTGTTTCCTCGTTCATCATTTGGCACTCAGCTTTCTCATAGCCCGAACTTGCATCCCAATCATATGGCACCAACGGCTCCTTCCCTTGCTTCTTGCCCTCAATGATCACCTCGATCAACTTGTCAAGCTTTGCTTCAAGTGGAGAACTTGTTCCCACACTCTGCACCCCTTTTTCGGTGCTTCTCTTCCTACCTCTTGTCAAACCCCAATCGTATCCTTTGAGAGCCATATCTTTGAGAAACTTGATCACTAGAGGTTGGGTCATGTTCATCAACTTCCTTTGGCTCTTCCTCGGCTCCTGCTTCCTCATTTTGGTTTTGAAGCGGATTAGCACCTCGATGTTGATTCCCTGCCATCTCAACTTCTCCTTCAATTCCTACAATCTCTACAATCTACTTCGATTGTTTGAAACATTATCAAGCGGACTGATGTTTGTTGAAATCTCTACAATCTACGATTCGAAAGCAAAACTTTGAAAAGCGAAAGGGTGGAAAACTCTTGGTGAGAAGCTTCACTCTGGTGTTGCTTCACCCTAACTAACTATCATGAACCGTGGGATCGAATGAACCGGTCTGTAACAAGGAAATTTTGACCCATAGGAGGTGCCACAATGGTTAGAAATGATCCTCTCAATTGCTAGGCCAAGGTAAGCATTAGAGTCTACAATTGTAGCCCTCTTGGCGCAAGCAATTGAGGGTTGACGGATAACGTCGTATTTGCACATATTTTCACCCTTGTGTCCTGACCTTTTTGGCTCGAATTTGTGGTTTCTTGGCCTATTTTATGCTAGGTTTGGTTATTTTGACATGTTTCAGGTCCTAGCGGGTAGAGGAAGGTATAGGCGCAAGTTTCGGGTCATTTGGAGGTCAGTTGGCGATTCAATGTGCAAAATACAGGCATCCCCTGCATACATACGGGCGTAATTTCCTTTGCCCCAACCATAATTCACATGCCGAGCCAAATCCTTAAAAATGTATGTCGAAGATGATAAAGCACCAGGGGGTGCTTTTGATCAAAGTAACGCAGCAAACCAAACACTCGAATGATAAGTGACTGATAGGTAGAATTTTGCCACAATCAAGGTGATTACTTAATTGATAAGAAACTTGTAAAACGAATCTGAAATCCTCACATAAAAGCTTGACAAGGGTTCTCGAATTAGCAATGTAATCCACACAAAACTAACTCAAGGATTTGATTCTTGAGACACAACTCAAAGACTAAAAAACTCACGTAGGAGTAATTTTCATTCACTCAACTCTAACTATTACAACGAAAACTATAAGGTATTTAAAGGCAAAATAAACCTAATAAAAAACTAATAGAACTAGGAAACAATTAAGGTAAAAATATAATCTAAAAAGAACACAAAATTCAACCAGAATTCCCCTTTCTTCAATCGCAAGCAACCTGCCTTTTAGCACAAGCAAACTGTCAGAAAAACAGTTTTTGTACTAACTTTGCGCCTTTCGTTCGAGGCCTTCCCGAACTCCAATCTTTCATCCAATTCCTTCTCTTATAAACATACCTAGTTTCATGTTGTGGAAGCCTTTGGACCTGAATCAGATCCATACTCCTCGAATTAAGCTCCAAAGTAGGCTTCACAAAACAGTTCTTCTGCCTTAGCCATTTTCTGGCAGTTTTCCAGTTTTGAGGTAGCAACTTTGAGGCCTTGGAAAACAACCTTAATGACATCTTCTGGATACAAAAAGCATACCATTGGAAACCTGGCAACTTTATCTGTAAAACAAGCTCTTGATCTCCAATTTCCATGGAGCCATTTGTGAGATACAATTCCCAACTTCAATAGCTTCCTCGACAAGTAATTTAAACGTGTAGTGTTGGCTATTTGGGATCATATCAGAAGATCAAAATGCAGGCAAGCATAGGGGTAAATACGGTTGTAATTCTACCATAACTGACAGTAATTTGGTCATGACGACCGTAATTCCCTTCATCAGCATTAAGTGAAACGCGCATTTTGGGCGAAATACGGGCAAGCCATGATTGAGACCGTAATTCAGCCCGTATTTCGCCCAGAATTGGGTTTTTTAGGCAGATTCGAGCCAAAGGATGGGGGAGACGACTTTTTGAGTAGAAAACGGAGTTCTAGAGAGAGAAAGTGCGAAGAACAAACCCTATGAGCTATTTGGAGTGGATTTCTTATCATTGAAGCCCATATTGCATCCCCAGGAGTGAAGATCGACATCCCAGAACAGATTATTCCCATCTTTATGAGTATGACTGCTCTGATTTCTGTTTTCCTCTCTCTCTCTCTCTCTATGGAGTAGAACTATCTCTCACTTGGGTATGAAGAACCCTAGTTCCATGTGTTAGGGATATTGATTGTAATGACTTTTGGTTTGTGATACTACTTGATTATAATCGATTGAAGTGTTTTGATTGAGTCAATTGAAGCCTGATCATCTTTTCTTGATTTCTGCTTCTACCTGAAATAGATAGAATCTGATTAGGTTGTTAGAGCTTCTTCAATCGGTAGTAGTGAATCGATTATATGAGAGTTATTCGATTCACTGCTTTGTGCTAGAATCCAATTCCAGTAGTGGAGTTATGTGTTAATTGCCTCAGTGTTCTATCCCGGTGAAGATTAGTCGTCTGCCGGGTAGTCTGTCTGAGAGGGCTTGGTTAGCTTAAGAGATTCCAACCTACTGTCGGATCTTCCGCAGTTTAATCAATAATAAATCAACCAAAGGTAATTACAACTTTGACCTAACTAAGGAGCTAGGGGGACTTATTCCCGAATGACTCTACCCCTGCTTAAGAACTTCGGACCATTTCCTACTTTCTTACTGCTTTTGCTTAAAATCATATTCACTCAACTAAATCTGCTAGAAAATAGATAATCGTGGAGTAGGCAATAGATCTACACCCCGGTTGATAAATAGAACTTGCCACTATTCTGCATTTCCGGACTGCGATTACACTTGGTCGCAGTTTGTTGTTGTGTTTTAGAGAGTCAAATTTTTGGCGTCGTTGCCAGCGACTTCTAGGCTATTGTGGAAACGTGAAAGTTTGTTACTCTAGATTTTTCTTTACTGCATTCTCTCTCTTCCACCTTTGTGCTTTCACGGGTTGTGTTTGCATTCTGTGTGCACGTAGTGCATGACCCGTAGCGAGTCAGGAGACTTACTGCCATTAGACCAAGAGCTTGAACGGACTTGTAGGAACTTCAAGCGGGCTTTAAAGGCGCCACTGGTAGCGGAGGAGGCTCTAGCACAGCTACAGATCAACCAGGAGGAAGACATGGGTGAGCCTCAAAACAATGATGTGGTTGCCCCCGATGAACACACCATGGCGTATTACTAGACCTCCAGAGCTGCGGACATGAGGTCGCCCATCCAGCACCCTCAAGTTCCAACCAATAACTTCGAGGTGAGCACCTCTGTCATCACCATGTTGCGCGGCTCGGTGGTATTCCGTGGAAAAGAAGGGGAGTGGCCCAGTCACATATGCGGAAATTCCATGAGCTCATCGATGGGATCAAGATAAATGGGGTCCCAGCCGATGCCATCCAGCTGAGGTACTTCCCATTCACTATGGAGGGGCAAGCCAAGGAGTGGCTGGACACTCGACCTCCAGGATCGATCACCATGTTCGCCAACCTGGCGGACAAGTTCCTCACCCGCTATCATCCTCCGTCCAAGACGGTGGACTTGCAGAAGCAAATTACCCACTTTGCCCAGGAGGAAGATGAAACCATTCCAGATGCTTGGGAAAGATACACCAGTGTTTTCCTGAAGTGTCCCGATCATGGGTTCAATACACCTTCAAGGTGGGCACTTTTTACCATGCCCTCTTCCTAGAAGATAAGCAGCTGATTAACTCGGTCTGCGGCGGGAACATGCTAACCAAGACCCGCCGTAGCTGAATCGACTCTTTGAAGAGATGTCAGAGCAGGGATATGATTGGGGAACTTCTAGGAGATCGAGACGAACATCAGGTCGGGGTGTGCATGTTGTGGCCACCCAGTCGTCTGATCTGGTGCAGGTGGTATCTAAGCTGGTCTCAGCCATTGATCGTTCTGGAATGGTTTCAGGGACATGACAGCAGCAGGCAATGCATTGCCAGTGGTGCGAAAGCTCCCATCACACTGTGGAAGACTGTCAGGCGATGAGGGAGTCGACTACTCCCTAGGAGCAGGTGGACTTCATCGGCAATGTCAGGCGTTTCGACCCCTACAACAACACTTATAACGAGGGGTGGCGGCATCATCCCAACTTCTCCTAGAATGGACCTAATCCTCGACCACCAGCCTCCCACGGACCGCCAGGTTTTCAGAGGCCTCCTTACCAGCCCAGACAATGGCAATTCTAGCAGCAACATCCTCTTTACCCGCCCAGACAGGGGCTAGTTACTCCTTAGTCACATATGCGATCATTTCAGCAGTCAGGTGCAGCCCCCACAGCCCAAGTACAGAGTGATCCGATGGTCGATTTGCGCAATTTGGTGGGATCTCTGGCCAATTCCAGTGCTAATATGTTTAGTAATATCGAGCAATTCATGGAGAAAGCCTCTGGTAAATTCATGGAGCTTGAGGTTGGCCAGAGAAACACACAGGCTATATTGCAGGATATCCACACCCTGCTTGGGAGTGTAGCACAGGCTGTAGCACAGAGGACTCCAGGCACTTTACCCGGTCAGACCATTCCTCATCCGCAGGACCCAAATGTGCACTGCAAGGTCATTACTACCAGGAGTGGCAAAGTGACTGTTGATCCACCTGTCCAGGTACAACAGGAGAGAGAGTCACTTTCTTCAGCACTTCCAACTAATGAAGAAGAAACAGAGAAGAAGGTAGAGGTTCCTACTCCTAAGCCGCAACCAGTGGTGAAGGAGTATGTCCCGCAACTTTCCTTTCCTACTCGGTTTCACAAAGACCGACTAGAGACTGAGTTTGCCAAATTCATGGCAATGCTGAAGCAGGTATGCTAAGTTCATGAAGGATCTCCTTACCAACAAGAGGAAGCTTGGGGAGCTGTTGACGGTGATACTCAACGAGGAGTGTTCTGCCATCCTGCAGAACAAGCTACTAGCGAAGCGCAAAGACCCAGGGAGTTTTACTATCCCTTGCATGATTGGTAGCTTGCATGTAGGAAAGTCTTTGGCGGATTTAAGCGCTAGCATAAACTTCATGCCATATAAACTGTTTAAAAAGCTAGGCCTAGGTGAACCAAGTAATACTAGGATGAGAATTCAACTTACTGATAGATCCATTGTGCATCCTAGGGGCATTGCAGAGGACTTGATAGTCGCAGTAGGGCCATTCTCATATCCTGTTGATTTTGTGATTCTTGATATAAATAAGGATGTGGATGTGCCTTTAATACTGGGTAGACCTTTTCTCGCCACCGCCAAGGCGCTTATTGATGTGAATGATGGGAAGTTAATTTTGAGGGCTGGGGGTGAACAAATCACCTTCTCTGTTTCTAATAAT